CAGGGCGCGGCGGGGAGTGTGCGGGGGGACGGTCGGCGCGCGTGCGCGGTGGGTAGGTGGGGGACCCCCGGGCACCCGCAGGACGGGTGGCGGCGCCCGGACCCCGGCTGGAGCGTCACAAAGAGCCAAGTCTCGCTTCGGTGCCCAGGTGCGCGCCGATCTCCGGGAGCAATGTCTAAAAAGGGTCCCGAGCTCGTCTCCGCTGCTGCTCCGCGGATGGCCGCGGCCCCGCCGGGGATCCCGGGTTGGAAAGCCCGAGGCGTGTTTGTGCTTCTCGGAATACGTGGAGCGCGGAGCCGGCCGGATAACTTTGGAGAGCTGGGGCGTGGGGAGGGCTGGCACGCGCGCCTTGCTGCCTTTTCTTGGAGGGAAGCCTGGTTACTTTGGGGTGGAGGGGGTATGTGGGGTGGGGGAAAAATGGGATCTGCAGATTCCGACTTGTGATTTCTGCAAATCCTGATTAGGTGGGTCGTTCCTGGCAGGCGCTCCTGCCCTATTTGTCTTTCTTTTCTTTTCTTTTTGTTGAGAAAGTCTTACGATAGCATCTGTTGAAAAACTCATTCAGAACATTTGGGGGCGCCTAGTGACAATCGCTGTTTGCCTAAAGGTGGCTAGCAGCCTTTTTTTTTTTTTTTAAACTCTGAAAAGGATCTGTTTTGTTTCTAGGACATCTTATTATAGAGATTGTACACACCGATGTTTGCTCTTAAGAAACATAGGTTTGATTTCATGGAAAAAAAAGACTAAAAAAGGCCATATGCTTTCCTCTGAGTGGCTATGTTAAAGCACCATTGGCAAATGACACGTGGTGAGGACTTTAATGGGGGGGGAGTGAACTCTGCTAGGTAACTGTGTTCTAGTGTATTTGGGAGTGGAAGGGGATCTGGAGAGGAAAATCGAATTCACAAGTAGTGTAGTGCTTTTTGCAAACTTGCACGAAGGCAACATTTAACACATTTATGGGTTTTCTTTCTCTAGTAACAATGGTTTTGTAGAGAAATTATTTCCTGTCTTTTTCTTTCAAAAGCTACTTATGAATTACTTCTGTTAGTAGTTAAAGTATAATCCCAGACTCGATTACCTTTCAAGCTATTGAGTATTATTTTATACCGGAAGCAGTCCCCCCAAAGCATGTCTACCACACCTGGTTTTTATTATTGCCAAACATTCATGCGTTTATGAAATCATTTGGTAGCAGATACTGTACAGATCTGAAAATTAAGATGTATAGGTCACTGATAAAAGCAAGCCATCCTTTGGAATATAGCATGGGGGAAAATGAGCATAACAACTCTTAATTCATTTTAACATCTACCAAAGTATGAAAGAATAAACACTGGCTTTTCCTTATCCCTCTTTCTGTAAAACATTTCAGATCTCAGGGGCATCTGGAAGATTTACTCCAACTTTGCTTAATCAGAGCTTAAGTTAATAATTAGGTTACACAGCCTAGTATCTATTGTGTTGAAGGCATAGTTATCTATCTTTGTAGTGAAGAAACTATTATATTCAAACAGCCCCTAAATCAAATCTGTCTTTCCTTTGTGCACATACAATGTCAGGTCTCTTTATCAACACCACTTATTGGTAGTTTTGATACTACAATTTGTATATGAGAATGGCATCTACCACTTTACTTTATGAAAGGTTATTGAGTATACATGAGATGTGTATATAATCTTTTACATTACAACAGTATTGACTTATCAGGCAGTTTTCTGGTTAAAAGTTTATTATTTAAGATTCTTAAGGTGTGCCTTTCTTTCCATAGCACTTCAACTGTTTATATTCCAGAAACCTGCTAGGAGCACTGAAAACTGCCATAGGTATAGACAGTATTTTTATGGTATTTATTTTCCATTTCCCTCACTTGTAAAGTGTTTTTACCTACGGAAGGCATCCAGAAAATGTTAACACTGTTTTTAGTTGATTACAGCCCCCCTTCTTTTATTTATTTATAACTTTTTGTTTATCCTTCTGGGGAAAACCAGAGCTCAAAAAAAAAAAATAAAACCAGAACACAAGCACATGAAAACCAGAAAGAAAACCGTGGTCGGGCTAGGGTTGGAGATAGAGTTCTGTATGTAATTATAGCTTGCTTGTAATCTCCTTAAGGACAGGCACAGCTTAGGATTCGTCTTAGATTTCTCAAGATGCTCATTAGGCTGCCTTGTGCTTGGAGACGGCAATACACATTTGTGGAATGGAATTTCAAAATGTGTAGTTTGGCAAAGCCTAGGGTAATAGCTAAACCCTATTATTATTATTATTTCCTAGCTCTAACCATACCCCAGCCCTGAGCTCTCCCATCTCCTCAGGGTTCTCAGCCCCAGTCAGGACAGGGACTGGGAGTGAGGGAGAAATCCGGGATCGAATCCCAGCTCAGCCACAGAGCCCGAAGCCGAGGCAGCCGCTTCTCGTGGGGCCTGGGTTCGGATCTGCCCTCCGGCCCCAGGGCAGCCTGGCTGGGGGTGGTGGTAATGAGCGCCATCGGGGCGGCTTGTCGACTCCTCCGGGGAGCGATCTGTCCCGTCGGTCTGGAGGTTGCCCTCCGGGGCGCCGGGACTGCACCTCCCGCGCCGAACCGCGCGCCGGGCTCCGCGCACCGCCCGTCGGGCTGCGGCTGACGAGCCCTCGGAATGCGCCCTCCGGGAGCCCAGGGTCCGGTCCTACCGACCACGCGTCCGCCCGGAAACGCGGCGGCGGCGGGCCGAGGGTTCCGGCGCTTCCCGGCGCCTGGCAACGCGGCCGGCCTTGCTCCTCGGGGCCGGAGCCGGGGCTCTGCGCTGCGGTGCGCGGCCGGGCTGCGCTTCCTGGGCCTGCAGAACTCAGTCCTCCCCTTTTCACCCAGGATGGCGTTTGAGGCCTCACCTGCCCTTTCAGGTCAGCAGCTGCGTCCAGCCGGGGTGGTGGTGGTGGTGATGGTGGAGGTGGGGTAGGCCCTCCTGGTCTTGCGTTTTGGGACTGCTTTGGTTTGGGGATGGACTTTTAGGGTCTTGTGTGATCTGTTTATAAACAAATCATGCTGGTGACCTAAAATAGTTATCAACCAGGAAGTTTCATTTTTTTCTTTTTTGCACTCACCACCCTTTGAAGCTCACAGCTGCCTAGGCTTAGTTAGGGTGGTTCTTTTTGCAATTAATTTGTCTTAAAGGGACTGGAACTGGAACCTTAGCTGGGGGGGGGGCGGGTGGGACAGTGTTTTACCGCTTACACCTCTCCCGAGATCTTTGACATTTGGAGTTTTAGGGAGCTCGAAAGACTTACCTCTCAACACCCCATCCAAAACAAGAAGATGACCACTAATGCTAACTACTAAATTTGGGATTACAGTCATGCAGGGCATTATCTCATTTAATCCTGACAATGGCCACAGGCTGTTATCACTATTTGTGGGACACAGTGAGGGGTGGAGTCTGATCCCAGAGCCCAACCCTCAGCTCTGGTGATAAACTTCCCCAGTCTCCCGTTTTTTGCTAGCAAAGAGGCAAATAGTGTTCTTCAGTCACACAGCTCCACCGATGGTCATTTTTGAAAGCCCCGTCCAGAGTTAGTGTGGTTGATTTCACGTGTAACGTGTTCCTCTTTCCTCAGCGCTGGCCTGGTCGTTCCTTTCTGGCGGTCTTTGGCGACTTCGTTGTTTTTTAATGGCTGCAGCGGCTGCTGGGTGAGCTGTGGGAGCCTGGACTGCAGTTCCTCTGGACAGGAGAGGGTCACTTCGTGCCAGCCTCCTCCTCACTGGATCGGTGTTGGGGGCTCTTCCCTCATAGCCTCTCCACGATCGAAGGGAGAAGATGCCTCTGCCTTTTGGATTGAAATTGAAGCGCACTCGGCGCTACACGGTCTCCAGCAAGAGCTGCCTGGTCGCCCGGATCCAACTGCTCGATAATGAGTTTGTGGAGTTTACGCTGTCGGTGGAGAGCACTGGCCAGGAGAGCCTTGAAGCTGTGGCCCAGAGACTGGAGTTGAGGGAGGTAAGCTATCAAAGAGGCTGCAGGTTGTTTCCATTCTTGCCCATAGGGCACCCAAACACACCTTGACTGTAATGTGCCACTTGAGCCTGCCTGCCTGCCTTCCTCTTTCCCAATGAAGGAAGGGACCAGAGCAAAACAAAAGAAAATCCCCCCAAAACCCTACCTGAGGCTGTGTCCCATAAAAGAAATAACAGTCCCTTTTTTTTTTTTTTTTTGCTGGTCAGGGGGCCTGAACTCTGGGCCTGGGCGCTGTCCCTCAGCTCTTCAGCTCAAGGCTAGGGCTCTACCACTTGAGCCACAGCACTACTTCCAGCCTTTTCTGCTTATGTGGTGCTGAGGAATTGAACCCAGGGCCTCATGCATGCAAGGCAAGTGCTCTACCACCGAGCCACCTTCCCAATCCCAGTCCCTAACTTTTGAACATACTATGTCCCCCTTCCCTCTCAAAAAATGCCATCAAGAGTCAAATAAGAATGCATTTTGGGCTACTGATGTCCCTTCCTTCTTCCTTCCTTCCTCCCTCCCTCCATTTTTCTGTCTGTCTGTCTCTCTCCTCTTTTTTATGCTAGTCCTGGGGCTTGAACTTAGGGTCTAGGCACTGTCCCTTAGCTTTTTTTGATCGGTTGTGGGGCCTGAACTCTGGGCCTGGGCGCTGTCCCTCAGCTCTTCAGCTCAATGCTAGCACTATCACTTGAGCCACAGTGCCACTTCTGATTTTTTTTTCTGCTTATATGGTGCTGAGGAATCGAACTCAAGGTCTCATGCATGGGAGGCAAGCACTATACCACTGAGCCACCTTCCCAGCCCTGTCCCTTAGCTTTTGTGCTCAAAGCTAGCATTCTGTCACTAGAATCACAGCTTCACTCTCAGCTTTTTGGTGGTTAATTTGGAGATGAGTCTTAACAGTATTTTCTACTGGGCTGACTTCGAACCGTAATCCTCAGATCTCAGTCTCTTGAGTACCTAGGATTGAGTACAGGTATGATCCACCAGCACCCAGTCCCAAGTTCTTATTTTTTTGACTGCAATCCCAAGTAAGTCCTCTTGATCTTTAGTGCAGGTTACTGACTTTATTCATTCATTTAGCATTCACTGAGTTCTGACTATTCCACAGGCCAAGATTCTAGACATGTTTGGTTTCCTCACCAACAAATTGTGTCACCCTGGGTCAGTTGTTCACACAGTTCACATGAGCATAACTAGAGCCTACTTCTTGGGGTAGTGTGATTTAATGTGCATGTAGAGCGATAACCCTAATAACTAGTTTGTTATAGTAATAATAGGAAGTTTTACTCTGGGAAGCCCCTAATCTAGTAGGAAGGAAGTGTTAGTCTTCACATATCCACATAATGTCCTAAGTGTAAAGGCTATGGAAGGGCTGTAATTAAAACTAGGATCTTCCCTGTGTTTGGCTGTCTTGCTCTGGGGTAGGACAAAGGAGGAGAAACTGGTTATTCCAACTTGAATGGCCATGTTGTATTTCCAACTAGAAATCCTACATTATTTTTTGTTGTTGTTGGTTGTGGGGCTTGAACTCTGGGCCTGGGTGCTGTCCCTGAGCTCTTCAGCCCAAGTTGAATACTCTACCATTTGAGCTACTTCTGGTTTTCTGGTGGTTAACTTGAGTCTCATGGACTTTCCTGTCCAGCCTGGCTCTGAACGGCGATACTCAGATCTCAGCCTCCAGAGTAACTAGGATTACAGATGGGAGCCACCGGCACCCAGCTTTATTCTTAATTTCTTGTAACTATTCTTAAGATTAAAAGCCGGGTGCCGGTGGCTCATGTCTGTAATCCTAGTTACTAAGGAGACTGAGATCTGAGAATCACGGTTCAAAGCCAGCCTGGACAGGAAAGTCCATGAGACTCTTACCTCCAGTTAATCACCAAAAAGCTCAGGGACAGCATCCAGGCCCTGAGTTCAAGTCCTGGAAACAGCACACACACACACACACACACGCACACGCACACACACACACACAGAATAGACCAACTTGGCCACACACACACACACAGCACACACACACACACACACACACACACACAGAATAGACCAACTTGGCCCCTAGACAAATCAGTTGATCATTCAGTGTGGTGTGTGTGTGTGTGTCTGTGTGTGTGTCTGTGTGTGTGTATGTATTCAGTATATATTACATAATACACATGATACATAATATGTATTTTATATACTATATAATTTTACACACACACACACACACACACACACACACACACACACACACGTTGTGCTGGTCCTGGGGCTTGAACTTAAGGTCTGGTGCTGTCCCTTAGCTTTTTAGCTCAAGGCTAGCTCTCTTACCAATTGAGCCACAGCTCTGCGTTAAGCTTTATGTTAGTTAATTGGAAATTAGACGTTCTCAGACTTTTCTACCCAGGCTGGCTTTGACTCCTGCTTAGCTAGGATTACAGGAGTGAGCCAACCTGTGCCGGCTGACTTGCAGACCCATTGATGCCAAATATATAGTCTTTTGAAGCTTACCCCTAGAGTTGGTGGTAGCGAGGAGACTGGTGAGGTGTAGTATGTGGTGGCATAGGGGAAGGGTAGGGAGAGGGTGGGGAAAGCTTGCTTCTGCAAAGTGCTGTTAGAGCTGTCTGACCTGGAGGGTGGGCTAGGCAGACCTATTAGGCTGCAAAAGACTTCCAATAAAGGGAACAAAGGAGAACTGACCTGCTACGTGTGGGGAAGATAGTGAAAGATTTTTAAACAGGCATGTGATTTTTTTTTTTTTTTTGCACGGAGGGAACCTTCTGGAGAATGATTAGAGAGATGTAGTTTGGGTGCCGAAGGTGGTCGTCTAGAGTTGGATGGGGATGAAGAAAAATGGTGGAATCATGAAGAAAAAAATAGTGGCTATTTAGGACCAGACCTGCCTATTAGGTGTTGTGGAGAAATTAGCAAGGGGCTGGACTTGGGGGGAGGAAGCATAAAACAAAGAGTGGACTTCAGTGTTGGATGTAAATGCCAAATTGGAAGTGCAAGCTGGTTCTGAGTTGAGATGTTGAACAGATAGGTGGACGCGCCTGTCTGCAGCTCAGGCAGGAGATGGAAGCTGAAAGGAAGAGGCCTGCAATCAGCAGCTAGAGCCGCGGGAAGGGATGAGGCTGTCTAGGGGAGAAAAAAGATGGAGCAGAGTGCTTATGGTTGAATAGCGAAGATAAACCAGGAGATTACGCCTGTTTACCTGTGTTTCCTTCTTCCTCCTCTTTTCCTTCTCCCTCTTCCCTTCATCTTCCTTCCTCCTTCCTCCTTCTTCCCTCTTCCTCCTCCTATAACTCCTCCTCCTCCTCCCCCCTCTCTTCTCTTCCTCCTCCACCTCCTTTTTTCCTCCTCCTGTTGCTCTTTTTCCCCCTATTTTAGTCTCTTTTTTTTCTATTAATTTCATCCAGTGGTACTAGGTTTGTCTACAGTCCCCAGGGCAGTCATTTTCCCAAGGAGGCATGGTGTATTTATTTTTGCACCACAGCATGAAATGTGCCCAATAAATTCAGCTGGACTGAGTCCACTGGCATTCCTTTCCTTCTGGTCAAGAAATCCAGGGAAGTGTCATCTCCTGTTAGAGGCCATCAGTCTTAGGGAATAAGCTGCTGTGGGCATATTACAAGTATGGCAAGTTTTTTGTTGTTGTTGTAGTTGCTGTTTTTTTTTTTTTTTTTAAGTCAGGGTCTTATTGTTCCTCAGTCTGTCCTTGAACTCTTGATCTTCTGCTTTATACTCTGGAGCTACCACACCCAGCTGTTTGTTGTTATTATTTGTGATATCTGTGCCCACATTATGGTGAATGACCAAATTCTCTTTAATTTTTTTTCTTTTGTGAATATTGTTTCTTCCTGTAACTGAAAGCACACATTTATTTTGTTTCTGTTTTTCTTTTGCCAGTCCTGGGGCTTGAACTCAGGGCCTGAACACTGTCTCTGAGCTTCTTTGGCTCATTCTACCACTTGAGCCACAGCACCATTTCTGGCTTTTTCTGTGTATGTGGTACTGAAGAATCAAACCCAGGGCTTCATGCATACTAGGCAAGCACTCTACTACTAAGCCACTTTCCCAGGCGAGTGCATGGTATGGCTAGTATGCATTTATTTAATTTTAATTTTTTTTTTGTTAGTCCTGGGGCTTGAACTCTGGACTTGGGTGCTGTTCCTGAGCTTTTGTGCTCAAGGCTAGCACTTTACCAGTTAAGCCACAGTTCTACTTCTGGCTTTTTTGGTGATTAATTGCAGATAAGAATCTCACAGACTTTCCTGCCTGGGCTAGTTTCAGACCTTGATCCTTAGATCTCAGCAGCCTGAATGGCTAGAAATTAATAGGCATGAGCTACTGGTGCCTGGCTTCTTTTATAGCATGTTCTTGTAGCAGTAATTGTTTTCTTCCAGTAACTTAAAGAATATATGCTTTTTATAGCATGCTCTTATAGTGAGCACCGGTAATCATGCTTCCTATGCATTGCTAAATTGTTTAAATTTTAGTATGCCATCTAATTTAGTAGCCACTTTTGAGCCACTGTTTCCATGTGAGCTGAAAAAATTCATGTGCATAATGTCACTATCCATTCCCTTCAAAAAAAAAAGACCTACTGTAATTATGGTTTAATGTTTTTTTAAGTGGAGGTATTAGTTTGTTTGCTTCTATCTGGGCTCAAACTAAACCATATAATTAAAAAATTGTCAATATTTAGATTGTTTATGTATTTTTTTATGTAGGGCATGCCTTTTAGAAAATTCTTGCTCAGTAGATTATCATGACATTGTTAGGCCATCATGGATATCAATTAGATTTACCGTAAACTGTTATTGCTTGCATACTCTGTTATTGCTTATTATTATTATTATTTTTGCTGGGGGGAGTCAGATCGGAGTTGAATTAGGGACCTGGGCGCTGTCCCTGAGCGTTTTTGCTCAAGGCTAGCGCTCTATCACGTTGAGTTACAGCACTGCTTCTAGTTTTCTGGTGCTTCATTAGAGTCTCATTATTTTCCTGCC